TCTTGGTAAGGTCATTAAGGGCTCTAGCCTTTCCTGAAAAGTCGTGTATGAACCGTCGATAAAAATTGCCAAAGCCCAGGAAGGCTCTGACATCCGTAAGGTTCTTCGGGGTTGGCCAGTTAAGGACTCCGTCAAGTTTGACCGGATCCATAGAAATCTTCCCGTGTTCTAGGATCATACCGAGATATTCGACTTCCTTGGCTTCAAAGGTACATTTCTCCGGTTTGAGGAAAAGGTCGTGGTCTTGTAACCGTTTGAGGATCTCTGTGACAATGGTTCGGTGTTCTTCCAGGGTTTCTGTTCCAACTAGGATATCATCCATGTAAATAACGACTTTCCCGGTGGCGATTAGGTCTTGGAAGATGTCGTCCATCATGGTTTGGAATGTGGCGGGCGAATTGGTGAGACCGAAGAACATGACCATGGGTTCGAATAGTCCGCGGTTGGTGAGGAAGGCTGCCTTCCATTGATCTCCATCGGCAATTAGGAGATTGTTGTATCCGTAGCGTACGTCCATTTTGGAAAACCATAGAGCTCGTGCCACTCGATCGAGTAATTCGGTGACCAGGGGTAATGGATAACGATTCTTGATGGTCATCTCATTGAGTTTTCGATAGTCCTGTACTGGTCGTAGCTTCCCGTCTTTCTTCTTTACGAAAAAGAAAGGTGATGCGAGTGGCGAATTGGATTTGCGAATGGTTCCGCGTTCGAGGTGTTCCTTGAGAAACTCGTCTAAAGCTTCTTGTTCCTGAGGTGTGAGGGGATAGACCTTGCATGTCGTTCGTGGAATAGCGTCGGGTTTGAGGTCGATGTGGTGATCCCATGGTTTGGATGTGGGAAATCGTTTGGATTCTTCGTCGCTGAAGACCTTAGAGAATGATCGGTAAGGTTCCGGTACGATTTCCTCGAAAGTCTTGTCTCTCTTTCCCTTGTTGGCTTCTTCCGCGAGCTCCGTAGATCTGGAGGCTCGCCTGATAATCTCTTCTTCTTCTGTTTCTAATCCCCACCATAGTTCGTCTCCTTCTTCGATCCCGAAGGATCGAAGGTATTCCTGTTGTTGTCGTCCTTGTTCTTGTTTCTTCATCTTCGCGCGATGGTTCTCTAATTTTGCCTTGATCCGTTTGGCAAAAAGTGTGGGAGGTTCGATGTGAACTGGTCCTCTCCTCATCCCTCCCTTGATCTGAGCCGCTTTGTGAGGGCGAATCACCTTGGCGGGTTTCTTGGATTGTCGTCGCTTCCGTTTCATGAGTAGTTGGCACTTGAGAGGGCATCGTTTAAGGAACATTCGTCCTTTGGCCCAATCGATCTCCGGGTTGTGCTTTCGTAGCCATGGGAGTCCGAGAATGACGTCGTCTTCTCCTAGATCCGTGACTGAAAAGTGGACTTGTTCTTCATGGTCTCCGATGGTGATTGTGGTTTCGACATAGTTGGTGATTTTCCCTAGCACGTTTAGGGAAGAGTCGACGTTCCGTATTATGCGAGGCTTCGCATATGTCTTGGTTGGTATCCGATGTTTCTTGACAAAATTCCAGTGAATGAATAATCCGGTGGCTCCTGAGTCGATCAAGGCCTTGGTTTCGACGTCTTTGTTTCCTCCATTGATGTAAATAGGAAATCGCATAGATGGCTGAGCAGCGTTAGCACGAATAAATAGGCTGCTAGCCCGAATCAATACATCATGAGGGAAACGTAACTTCGCCCGTAATTGCGTCGCAAAAGACGGGCGTCCTAAAAACCCTGAGGGTTTTCCATGTCGTTGAACATTTCGAGGACAGTGTCCTGATCTTCGGTGTTCATGTTCTGAATCTTACGTAAGAGTTCTTGAATAGCCGTGCCTTCTTGAGGAGGTTCCTCTTCCCGTGGTTGCGCAGCAGTTGTCTGGCGGATCTGTTGTCCTAGGCCCCTTTGGAACGTGTTGGGGCGGGGTCCGCCCTGGTTGAAAGGTCTAGCTTCGCTTCGCGGGTGGAACTGAGGGTTGTTGGCGCGGTGTCCGATTTTGTCGCATCGGAAGCACCGTCCTTCCTTGATGTACTTCTGTCGTTCCGCGAAATTAAGGTTGACCGCCCTGACCTTGGTGTCTCTGGTAGGTCTAGAGCTTCTGAAGCTGTTGCCGCCCTTCATGGAATTGGCGAATTGCCATTGATGGTCGAGTGTGGAAGCCTTGTTGTACCATTCTTCAATAGTGGTAGGCAACGGGTCGTGGCTGTATATCTTGGCTCTTAACGCGTCGTTAAGGCTAGCCTGAAACAAGGTGGTTTGTGAAACGTTGTCATTGATGCCTGATCTGGCAATCAACGTTCGGAATTTCACGACGTGGTCGTCTGCTGAAGTGTTTCCTTGTCTGAGGTTCATGAGGGCGAAGCGGTTCTTGGCTTCGTGATCTATGGTTCCGAATACTTCTTTAAACTTGTTCTTGAATTCGGTCCATGTTCCGTATCCCGTGGGGTGTCCTTCAATGAAAGAGATCTTCCATGGTCCCGCGCTTCCTCCCTTGAGGTACGATAGGGTCCATGCGATCTTCTTGGTGTCGGTGTCGAACTTGGCGGTTCCAAGTGTATTGATGAAGTTCTCACAGTCTGTGAGGAACTCTAAGGTGTCGTCTCTGTTTCCGTCAAACTCCTTTGGCGGGTTGATCTTGACGTCGTTGTTAGACATGTCTGATGCTGCTGGGCTAATTGGCCTAGGTGGTGGTGGTGACGGTGACCTTGGCGGTGGAGGAGGTGGTGGTCCTTGTGGTGGTGCTGTCTCTTCAGCAGGTGCCGGTGGTTCTTCCTCGGCTGTTGGCTCTGTTCCTGCTACTACAGGGGTGTTTGGTGCGTTGACAAAGTACCAAACGTTGTTCTTGACAAATATGGGCTGGTGCTGATCTTCTGTTTCAGCGCGAGTTCGGTTGATGTGTCTTCTGACCTTCCAAAGCTTGAGGTCTTTGTCGAAGTATGCTCCTTGAGGTTTCTGGATGTGCCAGGGGATTCGTTCGTTGAATCCTCGTGGGTCGTTGTACTGGGAGTTAGGGACTTCTACTCCGTTGTATGGTGCTTCACCAGTGTCGTCGTAGTACCAGTGTTTGTTCACTAGTTTGATCCAATAGCTGTCCTTCTCTGTGAACCGGGTTCCTGGTGGTCTCTGTGTTGTGGTCCAATCTCCTTGACCTTCTTCTCCGTAAGTTGTCCAACTAGTATGCTGTGGTAGGTAGACGCCAACTGGGACGTCTTCTCTGTGATCACCCGTGGTGACGGCGAATGACCTTCCTGGAGAAGGTCGAGGTGTCGACGGCTGGTGAACCTATTCAAATGTAATGTCCAGGCTTGAATAGTGATTCAAGAGTGGACGCGCGTTCGGGTGCAGGTGTGATAGCTATCACAGGTGCGATCGGCCGTGTTCTAAGAAGCCTTGCTTCTAGGTCAAAGGTCTGGTGTAGTGGCGATTCTACACAGACAAAGGTTCTAGGTATCGATAAGGGAAGCTAGTCCTGCTGAAAGGACTAGTTCAAGTACGAGTAGATAGACGAGGTAAATCAGAGATGAATAGGTTAAAGAACTCCCCTCTACTAGGGTCGTCCTTATATAGTACATACATGCGCAGCCGCAGGAGGCTATGAAGCTAATAAGTAAGTCAGACCGAGTCGTGCTAGTACTGTGCCCCAGTCCGTAGTCGATGCGGAATCC